TATCACTTTTTCCTCCCTTTCAAAGAAGCAGACAAAAAAAAAAATAAATACTGGAAGAGTAACTTCATTACTTCATTAATAAAAACATCTGTAAGCCCCAAACTCCTTCCCTCTTTATCCTTGTACTAAGAAACTTACTTATATAGACAGATAAATATACCATTTTACTAACAAAATAACATGAATGAAACAGCTGATATGTATATTGTTATGTATGTAGAGAGGATAGACAACAGATATGAAATGTAATATCACATTAAAGAGGAACTATCATTGACATGAGGTCCTTTTTTTTTTTTCTTTTTTTTCTTATTTTTCTTTTTGGTCAACTTTATAAAACTGTAAACACCAAATAATGCTGATACTAGAATAGCTATAGAAGAAATTCAATATTGGCCCTGTCCAAGCCAATTCAAAAACTCATCTAATTGCACTAATCCCCAAAATGATTAAACAAGAATCAAATCAAACAGATCAGGGACTTCCAGCAAATAGCTTACCTAACTGTAAATTACAAAAGGTAGCAAAAAGCCATGGCTGTCAGACTGCACTACCAGATTTCTATAAATACATAGAAAGGTCAAATGGGTTTCATAAATCAGGTGTTAAAAGCTGTGTTCAAAGAATAATACAATTAATGCCTGAGGCCTAATTGTCTGAATATTCTTCAACTGTCCTATCATAGGTTTCCAGAAAAGCATCTGATAGCATTGAATGGCCCTTATAACATCTTGTAGCAGTTCTCAAAAATATTCTGCTTGGGACTGACATCATTCAAAAGGCTTCCAATACTAAAGTGCACTGATATAAGAGATGGACACAAATCCTGTCCATTTCAACTAAAAACATGAGTACTTCAAGGATGCCTACTTCCTCTCTTTTAAACTTCTCCTTGGGGACATGCACTACTTACACATATTACATCCATATTACTTTTTATGCTACAGGTAAAATATTGCTCATGTGCCCTCCAGGCAAACAGAAGAGCTACAATCAATGTCATAGCCAATACAAGACGTCTGATAGGAAACAAAATACACTTTCTCTTAAAAATACTCTTATGTACTTTATCCTTTCCAGTTCACCTAGGTGATCTTTCCCCAATGACATCCTTTACTGATATATCGTATAAATTACACCAATAATTTTCAACCATGTAACATGCTGTTTAAGCATGCTGTGGAATAAATTGTAATGAGATGGATCACAACTAGGATATAATGACAACAGAATATTGAAATTAAGAATAGGTGTAGATAAATAACAAATCAAAGAATAACCGTCATCTGCTTATAAGACTTATGTTCTCAGCATATGTTCTGTACTTGGTTTCCTTTTTTGCTCTTTTTTTGCCCAGCAACAAAAACTGTCAAGCTCTTGGTCAATGCACACCAATGACTACATTTCTCAGTGAAGGATACAGGCACACGTTTTCTTCACAGCTACTGCCAGGCAGCCTGCACACTGTGTGTTCCATTTCAACTATTCTACCTGCTGTCTTCAAAATTATGTCTGATGAGATTTTTATTTTTTTTTTAAAGAATGATTATGATTGTCCTTTCTCAACTTGCATCGTGCCCAGGAGAGTCTTCCTAATGCCTATAATTGGAACAGACTTTGGCCAATGGAGCATTTCCGAAAATCCCCTCCTCGAAGACAGGAGGGCAGCAAAAGCCACCATAACCACATGAAGAAATATCAAAAACATGTAAGCTGTCTTTTACCCAGCTCTTTTCAAAATTAATACCCCACCCAGCAAAATGATCGACAGATGGACCTCTGCCCCCATGTGGAGATGATCACAGAAGTGAGGGCTGCATTTCTAAATAAATCCTTATGCATTATCCACAAAGGCTGTGTAAGGCAAGGCATAGAACAAAAAGGAAGGGGGCCAGAACAGTGATTGCATATTCTTCAAGCAATATATTGTCTTTTGTTTTAAAAAAATCAAGTCTTTACCTTTGCGTTACTTGCTCCAAGATCACTATGGGGAAAAAAAAAAAAAAAAAAGGCATTCAGTTTCCAGGTGAACCGGTATAACAATATATAGTTATGACAGGAAGACAAACATCCCTGCTATTACTTATTATTCTGCTAACTGTCCCTGTTCCATTTTTCTGCCCAAATTAGGATTCACAAACAGTGGAAACAATGCTCCAAACAGCACATTATAGCATTGTAATGCAAGGCTTCCTAAGTGGCAGTAATTCACAGGAGTCAATAATTCACAGGAGTCGCCAATGTAAGCTAAGGCTGCTATGAAACTGGTTAGAAATGTTTCTTTCCCCTCTGACAGGGTGCATGTGCAGAGCGAGCTGAACCATCAAGTCTTCACTGGGAATTCTGCCCACAGAAAAGGCATATATCGCACAAAGGAATAAATAAAACCCAAATTTTCTGTCAAAAAAATGTCATCAGGAAACTTTCTCTCAACCTTTTTGCACAGACTGCAGCGTTTCACTGTGGGTGAGATTCAGTTGTGTAAACATAGGCGTCTGGTGGCATTTTGGCTGCCTTAGGGCATGTGAAAATGTCTCCAGGAGGCTGACAAACAAGACAGGACCTCCAGGAAATAACGTGCCCTTCTGGGCAAACACAGGCCAAGTGGGCTGCCCTGGGGCATCCTCGAGAGCACAATATAGGCAACTGGATCCCACCCACAGCGTATGTCTCACCAGCATTAGAGGCTGCACGTTCAGATCTGTTACAATAAATTCAGGGATTTTTTTTTTTTAATGGAAACAATTTGAAAGCAAGGGAGCAAAAAGCATTAGTGAGGTACCAAGAGACCAGAAAAGTCATAAAGAGATGAAGCAGGAAAATAAACAGGGAAAGCAAGCATCAGAAGGAGACCATGGAAGCTGGACTGAAGCGTAGAGTCCCAAGATGTCCAGACACTGATCCTGAGGCAGGAAAACCTACCTGTGAAGCTCTCTTTTGCAACCATCCACTCTTGCAATTGTCATTCACTTTCTATCTCACCTCGCAAAGTGGAACAGCATCTGAGCGTTGCACAGTGGTAACAGGTGGTGATAATCCCATGGATTTCCTTGAAGATATTATGGGAAATGAAGTTTTCACTGCCTGGCCCACGCTTCTGATGTCAGAATGTGAACAAGAGTACAGGGGACAGCTGGGAAGGGAATATCTGCTTCTGATTAGAGGGGGAAATGCTGTGCACTTTGCACGAAGGTTCCAGGACCTGCAATCACCCTATACCAGTGTCTGCACCCCACTCTAAATCTTAATGATACTGGTTCCTTTGTCACCTAATTCCAGTGGGCTTCCCAAGCAGTGGATAAATTTAGAGACATCTGATGGGTGAAAAGCTCTGCTTTCCAAACATACATTTCTTAGGTATTCCTCATAATTTAAAACTGCATCTCTTAATACCAAATTTTCACACACTAAACCTGCTAGACCAAAATAGTATCTTTAGCTAGACAGCAAACATTCCTCTTAACTTCCAAACAGTGAGGCACATTAGCACAGTTTTGAGACATGCCTTAAATGCAAGCTTACTGTCACTACTATCCAGTACTTAAACACAAAACAGAAACAGGTAAGTAATGACTTTTTTTTTTCCCCTTAGCAATATGACTAGTTAGTAAGTCCTGGTAAGAATACAACTAGGGAACCAGCTTAACTCCATGTTCCTATTTTTTCTGTGCCCTTCTCACTGTTCTTTAATTCATTAAACATAGGTAATTTCTTAACTGACATAGCATCGATCTTTTAATTGTTTGTTCAATATTAAATACAGTGCAACACCTCAAAAAAGGAGTCTGAACTCCAGAACCCCCTTCTTCACTTACTATTTTTATACTGCTGCTCCAACAAAAAAGCAGTGACAAGTAAGGTTGAGTCCCACTATGCCATGAGATTATAGTTGAAAGGATTACAAAATGATTTGTGACTGAAGCTGTGATTAGCTTAGCTCCTAAAAGTATTGTAGTTGTTTAGCTATCATAATTCCATAAGCTTCTTTGAGTATTTGACCGGGATTTTTCTTCTCCCTTATTTCACAACACATACAAAAAACTGTTTTGTAAAAAAGATATTTCATATTTTTTTCAACTGGTATTTTATACATTGGACTTCATTAAATGGTATCACCATATCCACAAATGTAATATATTTGGTCATGGAGGTAAACTAACAAGCAAAATATATCCAACTCTTTGCAAGTGTGCTATTATTGGCAATCCTTCTGAAGCTTGAACTAGGAAGTACAAGCTCAGACTGCTGCAACACAATGTGCATTTATGTACAATGCTGCAGCCAGAAAAATAGAGACATTGCCAGCTCCGTGTCCTTGTCTCTAGTGCCTTCCATCCAGACCTTTGATGTGGATACAGAACGCATGTCACTAAGTCCCATTTCAATGTTCCAGTTTACTTTGTTTCTTGCTTTACATATAACATATGTTCAGTTTTTAGAGGTTTTCTGCATATTACATCACTTTTACAAGTGACCTCATGAACTTGCACCACTAATTCAAAAGGATTAGCAACATTTGCTTGACATTGCTTTGATCTTACTTCTATTAAAGGATGGGCTGTTGAACAGAAGTTCATCCTCCTGCAAAAATAATAGAAAATAGGTTTTGGTATCTGTTAAAAACATGCGTATCAGCAGGCAATCTCCTGTTACAACAGGGAATTACTTCTGATAACACACAAAACTTTGATCAAACCCTTATACTCTGCTGAAGTACATTCACCCCTATTGTCTTATTCAGTTCTAGTGGCTAAGCTGTTTCAGCTTCAATTACTGCAGCCTGACTCTGATAGATCACAGAATAAAGTAGTTACAGTAAATTATTCAAAGTTCTAGATTATACATGCTTCCAAAGCAATCCCACTGAACTTGAGGATATAAGACATCCAGTAGTTGACAGTTCTCAAACAATATTTTTCACTGAAAATACCTTTGTTTTCTTAAAAAATAAATAAATAAATAAATAAATAAATAAAAAGGATTTTTTGTACTTTTGAAAACATCACATTTTAATTAAGAGGAAATACAAACAATGCAGCCATTTTTAATTTTTGTATTTCTAATCTGTTACTTCCTAGTGTGGCAAACAGTTGTGTGTTGTTTTTTTTTCTTTTGTTGTTCAGCTTTGCAAATAGAGAAACATGAGAATGATCAGAGGAGTAGACATGAAAAACAAATAGAAGGGAGTGAGTGCAATCCAAAAACAATGCAAGTTTTTTACTGAAAATTATCTCTGGCCTGTCGGACTTTTAAGACTCCACTTTGCTGGAGTGCCAGAAGCACAAGGTTCATAAACAAACTTTGCGGTCATTTCTTTGCCACTCCAGGCTTCAGAGCCATGGGTTATAAAATAAGCTTTTCCAGGGATAAAGACAGCCACTTCAAAATGGTGATGCATCTGCTTCTCTCCCTTCCCAGAAGGACACGTCCTAGGTTGTAACAAACTCTTCTATTGCAGGCTCTGCAAAATAAGAAATACCAGAGGACAAAACTTAAGCCAAATTTCCCAAATTTAGCATGTGAGCTCCACTCTCTGAAATCCTGAATAAAAAGAATAGATGTGAATTTGTGGCATACAAATCAGCCTGCAAGAAGCCTGGGAAGTTACAAGACAAACACATGGACCCTGCAGGGTGCAAGCACAAGACAAAAGATCAGTCTTGTCAAGAGTAAGGTGCCATCAGCAATGAAAGAGTTACAAAACTCTACTCATCTCTGGAATTCTGTTGCTAACATCCTTCCAGGTTTATGAAGCAATTAAACACAGCTTCAGTACACCACCAGAGAATCACAGCAAATCTAATACAGTTCCTTTTAAACAAAATAAAACAAAAATAAAACAAAAACACCCAACCTACATGGAATTAAAAAAAATAATCCACATTTTCTGCCTTTATTAGTCTTTTTATTTTCTTTAAACTTTCCCTTCTATTTACCACTTTTTACCACTATTTTTACCACTATTTACCACTATTTTGTGGAATTGAACCCACATTTTAAATAACCTTTGTTCACTAGACCCACCCATAAATATGTAGGATATACATTTTGCACACATGCAATCAAACAATCTCCAAGATAATTAGTACCCAAATCATTTTTGCCACACACACATTCAATTATGACTTGCCCAGACTCATACAACCACACTTGAGCAAGAAGTAATGTTGAAACTTGCTTCTCCAAAACATGGGTATAATCAGGTTATGTCTGAGATTATGGTGTAAACTCTGACAGGTATTTATCAAAAGCAGTACCCTTAAGATATTACTTTTACAGAAAGCAGAAATATTGTTTTTTCATTGTTAACAAAATCTTAATTTCTTCATATTCCACATGAATTTCACCTCAGATTATACTGGAAATCTGAATGAATTCAGAAATAGCTTATTATGGTGGGATCTTTCTTTGGAAAAAAAAAAAAAAGCTTACTTTATATTGGTAGATGGGTACAGAAAGAATAAAATTTAAAGGCATATGTTTATCTCTTGGTATACTTGAAATATATTTAATTTAGAAATTTTCCCAGCCACATCATGGTAAAAGAAATGTCAGAAAACAAACCTTTGAACTTGGCCAGATTTTCACAAAGGTTCCATAGCTGTCCTGTCTGGTTTCCCACATAAGTTTATGAAACCTTTAATTCATTACATCTTGTTTACTTCATATAAACAGAAGCATTAATGTCACAAGGAGTGAACTGTAACTCAAGAGAGACATAAGCAATGAAGCAACAAGCACAGGAAAATTTATTTTCACAAGTATGTAAAAAAAAAATCAACAACAACAACAAAATATTACAAAGCACCCACAATGCTTTCTCCAGTTCTGTGTATCCAACTCCAGTTTCTTCCTTTTTACCTGGCTGCAGGGCAGCTGGGGTAAAGACCACTTTTTTTCTCATGCGTGTACACCTATCACAACAGACGAGGTCTTCAAGACTTCACTGAAATACAAAGAACAAATAAGGCAGTAGAAGGCACACAGTTAGAATATTTTCCCTTAAACAATCAGTTCTTTAAAAAACATGCATCTTTCAGCTACTTGCTGTATTTCATAAAATTTTATAGATAGAAATATAGGTAGGGGTCTGTATGTGTGTGTTAAAAGTAACTAAGTGTCACATCAGTCCAAGAATTTGGCACAAAACAATACAATATATTGTTATCCTATAAATCTAACCCAGCTTGGAAATTGGCCAGTCTTGCACCATTTGAAACACAGTTTGCATATTGTCACTTATTTTAAATACATGGGTAATAATATATATCAAAACCAGATTTTTTTCACATGGGGAAAATAAAATAAAGGAAAAAAATAATTATAAAAACATTGCCCAATTTTAAGTTAACCCCAAATCCAAAGAATAATCCCCAGGCAGCCATAAATCCTGTGGTGTCCTCACTCAATTGAAAAGCCACTGCTCCATCTGTGGCTTGGGGAGCAGGGACAGGGGAGGTGGGAGAGTTCTGTTGATCAAATAAACCACAATACTTAATGCATATTTAGTATTACAGAGTTTGAACAGATAATGTGGGCTGTGAATGTTACTTCAGCCCCATGGAATATGGTAATTATATCCATTGTGAAGTGCTTTCTCATCCATTACCCTTAGATCCCGGTGGCAGAAAATATCCAATGCCAAGTAATGCCTGAGAAAATGCAGATCCTTCGTGCCTCTCACTTATCCACTGAAGGCTGACCAAACTAAAGAACATCATTTTTTATATTGAAGCTGATGCTCACCAGATGGCTATTAATTTTAATAATAACAAAGGAAACTATAATGAGAGTATGCCTTGCAATTCTGTTGAGTTCAGTACATAGAAGAAATTTAAAAGTTCACAGCTTCATGCTATTTACAAAAATAAGCCAGCACAGCACCCTTTCCTACTCTCCTCTCCTACTAATAAAAGACAAAATGCAATTTACAGTGTGGCTGTTCTATCTATTATTAATTCACAAGTGAGTCAATCTCAATTTATTAGTCATTGCTGAACAACCCTTTTTTGGTCAGTAATATCTGTGTCCCTTCAGCTGGGTCAGAGAAACAGATCTTCAGCTAACGAGAAGTCAATATACTTCTCTTGAACTCTGTGCATATGTTTGTTTATACACATAACAAAACACATAACACATAAAAAGACATATTCAATTAACACGTTAAATTAATTAATTAAACTAAATTAACATAAATAAAATAAACTAATTAAAATAAAAAAATAAATTAACATTAATTAACACATTAAACACCTAACAAAAGCTGACAGTTTCATTTTGGAGTTAATTTTCCTGATTTTTCCATCTTTACATTTGGTTTCTACCCTTTTTGCCTGGATGCAATTTCCTTGAAAAACTCTGTAGCAAAAAACTTCCATGGGCTGTACTTCCTCATCCTAAAGAGAGAGGCTTCCACTCATCCTAAAGAAACCTCTGATCTGGGAAGTTTGAATACCAGGGAAAGTCTTTTAATGCTGTTAACAAACATTTTTTGATGTCAAAAACTAGATTCAGATTATTTCCATACTTGATCCTCATGGGAAATTTTCATTTTTGAAAATGGCAGACCTTGTAAGAAATAGTTGAAGACTTTCTTGATTGACTGTCACCTCCTGAAATTTTGCTGAGTTCTCCAACTTCGCCTTTCTACAGTGAGATGCAACTGAAGAATATAATCTGAGAGAAATGTTTGTCTGGAGGATACATGCATCAAAACGTATTGAACTATACTTAGATAAATAATGTCAAGAAAGTTCTATAAATTATTATGCTTCCATGAATTATTTGAACACAAGTTCACCTATCACAGCACATGATTTACTGCATTTATCTTTCAGGAGGCTAATTGGTAAATTTCAAAGTTACATGCCTGACTAAGCAAGGAAGATGAATTTTGAATTACTTACAAATCCTGGCTGCAGAGCACTCAGACCCTTACCCAACAGGAAACAGAAACAGTGCCATGTGATGTGTGATGTATCTGAAATTCTATGCTATTTGAATTTCATATGTTAGATTAACACACTGAAAAATGCCACCACAAATAGCAGCATTGAACAGGCGAGGAAGAATTTATTCAGCCTCATAGATATACCTTCAGAGGATACAATAGTTAAATTACTCAAAAAGTTATTCACTGTAGACTTTTCATTCAGCTCTAGTTAAAATGCAAACAGCCCTTGAAAATTTAGTTTGTTTTTCCACTTCCTGTGTTATGCAATGTACTCAAGTTACACAAGGCTGTTTTTTCAGCTGGATCACAACGTGGTAGCATTTGCAGACCACTGCTGATGTTTCATTAATGATCTCCATAACAAGAAGATCATTGTTTTCTTTTATGTAAATGCTGGCTAAGTTACAATCACATTAAAATTTACTACATTCTTTTTTGGTGGCCCAGTATCAGAGAGAAGGTCATGCTTCCTACCAGTAAGGACACTCGAACAATGTGTAGGCTATTTTGGGTGAGTGCCTGGTGATTAAAAAAGCTACATAGTTAATGAAGTCTGTGGGCAAAAGAGGAAATCTCAGTTGTTCATGTCAAAACAAGAAGAGAACTTGCTTTGTTAGGTGACATTCAAACTACTCAGTAAATAAAAAATGGTTTTGTACATCTAAACACCCAGGCAAGGAGTTGTATCTGATAGCTGAGTCAGAACACACAATTTCAAATTTTAGCTTTGCCACAGACTTCAGAGCACGGCCAGGACAATTCATTATTTCATTCCTCACTTATCAGCCATAGATACTAGAAATAGTATTTTTCATCCTCTTCTGAACTACTGATCTAAATTGTAGCTCACCAGCTAGGAGTAACCTGTAGGTGCAAAATGGTAAAAATCAAACCATGAGCCCAGGCTGTGACTTAAGGTCAAGCAGAAGATCACAGTAAATGTAGTAATAACCTCAAATAAAATTGTAATTCGTAGAGTAACATTTCTAATAGGAATTCAATGTGTTTTAAGTTCACAGATCACTCAGGAATTATTATTTTTTCCCAAATCAAAGTATTTTATCATAGTAATGACTGCTATATTAAGAAAAGTCCCATTCTACATAGGGTCACGCATCAAGTAGAAATGGACAGGAAAAGGCTGACTATTCATTAACACCCAACCACTATCCCAAGTTGAAAACAAGGTTTTCAGAATGAATTTACTGACTAAGTGTTAACTTTACTGAACAGGAAAATATGCACAAAAATCCACCCATTGCCCTCACGTGCAGACCAACACTTAGAAAAGCAGCATTTATGCAAACTGGAAAAACAACCAGCAGATATAATCAATAAAGAATCTGCAATAAACAGGTAGGATCTGTTTTTTTTTTTTCAAGTAAACCATAATATTACAAACAAATACTTCCAATAAATATGCTACATTTAATCTTGGCTATTGTCTTTGCTAGTTACCTGAGGCATTAACTGTGTTAAGAAAGCATTGCCACTGGCTGCAACCTACACAGGGTCTGCCATGTAAAGGGCTCCTTTTAGTTCCTCAAGGTGAGAGAGACATGACATCTAATCCTCTGCCAGAACATCTCCCTCTGTCATCAACACTTGTGGGTCTAGCCCAGCTTTTACTGAAATACAGAAATGTTAGACAACTAAAAATGACGTAGTGAACTACAGATCTCAGTACTTGTATTCCAAGTCCCACTGCTTGCCAGAGTCACAAGCAGGCAGACTCAAGTGTTCTTCTGAGCAAACCTAACTATGCTGATTGCCCCTATTCATGCAGCTCTGAAAATGTTAGAAAAACTCAATTTAAAAAGAACAGTTCTTTAGCTGCTCAGTCAAATAGCTATAGCATTCATGACACTGTGCCAGCCACATTTTGTCAAAGCTTGAAATACATTATAAGGTATGTCAAAGATACCAGAAAACAGTTTTCTAAGAACCTTGAACCATGTATGGTTACTCAAAACAAACCCAGATGCAAAGGAAGTGTTAACTTTACTCTACAGAAAAACATCCTGGCTTTTACCACTTGCAGTCACATTTTCCGAGGTCACTTCTTATCCCAGTAATCCACAGCAGTGCATAGCCACAGCAGTGAGGCTTCGAGCAGGGATCAAGATCTGGCAGGTGTCTCTGGAGGAAGGCTTCCATAAACACTGTGAAAAATATTGGTTCAAGTTGTGAAATCAGCAGGGAATACACCACTCATTTTGCGCTTTTGTTCTTCTGCTTGGAAGGAAAATAGATGAGTGCATCTTTCCAGATTTCTTGGAGAAAGATCTAAACACAAAGAAAGCCAGCCAGGAAAAGAAGGGTTGAGAAGTTGATGTGTAACAGCAGCAATAACCTGAAGGGAAAAGGCAAAGAGGGGAAAAACTAGGGAAACAAATTTTGCATCATACCTAAACCTCTCTAAGAATTTTACTAAAATACTAAAAGGCTCAGTGAAACTGAGAACACAACAGCAAAATTTTCTAGTGAAACACTGCTAGTATTTGCAAGGACTTTTGCAACAGCCAAAATACCAGTTCCCTCTATTTCACATGCAAAACCACCCCAACTGAGATGAAATGATGAGTTCCTTCTGAGTCTCATCTCCTTACTCCCCATCTCTGAGAAATTCTCGCACCAGTTTATACACAAAACTATGGAAATCTACCTGAAGTTCCACAAAAATTGCTTTTCCATAGCCTAGCTTCTCATAGCCTAGGCTTACTTCAGACTTCTTCACACACAAAGGTGTACATACTTCTACTAAGAGAGCAAGTCACATGTCCCACAGAAATTGTGAATTACTGCTGCTCTCCCTCCAGGTACAACTACACAAATACCGAGGCATTTGTGCTACCAGACCACAAAAGCTATTAAAAAAAAAAAAAAATAGCAATTTTGGGCAGGTAACACAGCAAGCAGTGGGAAATGGTGCAGATTACCTGAGCCACAAGGAGAGGAAAAGACACTCTTTTACTGTACACCTTTATTTCTACTAACTCCAAAATCAAACATAGAGTCAAAAGGATCTTGTCAATAGGTGGCAGACTGGATTAAACTTCATTAAGATGAGTTGGAATGGTTGGATGGGTCTTTCACTTAAAACAGTTGTATAAAATCATTAAAGCTGCATTAGAGAGTCAAACAGACGAAACAATAAAGATAGCTGAGCTATGCAGGTTCAGGTCTTTCACTGGATATTTTTGTGGCAAAACTGTGTGCACATACATCTGATATGAGGAAGCACAACAGTAGGGACAAGAGGCAGAAAGAGAAAAAAAAAAACAAAAAAACAAGGAAAGCCTAGTCAGAGCAAGCATTTTGTATGTATACCTGAAAAGAAAGCTTCCACAGAAGGATAGAATAAGAGCTTTTTATACAACCACTACCAAGAAATTCTTGGAATTACACTCAAGACTTTTTTTTTTTTAATACGTATTTAATACTTATTTTTCTGTATTCAGAGACAAAGAGATTTGCACCTAACTGATAAACAAGCAAAATCCCATTAAAGATTTTCTTTACATTGCCATCAGTTTCCTCTGAATTTGTGTTGTCATTTGAGGTAAATTTGTGTTACAGAAAACAAATATGGCCAAATTGCAGTAAAAAGAAAAAAAAAATAATCTGGTGCTCAGTCACTGTTGCCTAAAGCACTTAGAAACTCAGAAGATGGAGAAGAAAAAAAAAAAAAAAAGAGAGAGAGAAGCTTAAAAAATAAAGAGGGGAAAAAAAGAACAGCATGAACTGAGGGGCGGGGGGGGAAGCCAAACAAATCAGGAGATGGAGATTTCACAAAAGGAAGTAAAGCGTCATTTAGAGTGTTTCCAGAAGGAAAGGCTGGACGATGAGTTGCACGGAAAAATAAAGGATGGTTCACTCAGTTTTGTGCCTAGATGATATGATGCATGCTAAAAGGGCTTAATAAAACCTGATATATTTATAATGCTCTCTGGCAAACTGAAGTTAAATCCAGAAAAGTCTGGAATATGTCCAAAAGAGACCATCTACATTTCATACATAAACGAGGTGGGAATTACAATTGACCAGCCCCCACAATGTTACTTTGAACAAGCCATCTCCATAGGCACTACCAGATGTGAAACTCTGTACATCTCTGCTTTAGCTACAGGTTTATTTTTGGGTATGTCAATACTGTAAGCACACTATTCAGTAGAATGATTTAAGATTTTAAATGCTGAATAAAGCCCCCGTGACTACCCTTTTCTTGGCATACCTATGTTTTGAAAACCTTCAGACTGGACACAGATGGTACTGCTTATGGATTGACGGCAGTGTCAGCACAAAATCATGAATTATTTTCAGGAATGGACATTTATTACTGAAGTCCATGTTGCACAAAAGGAGAATGATACATCACCTGAAAAGAACTTGTTGGAGTGGACGAGTCCATAGAACATTTTCCTAGATGTTGCCAACTTGCCACGGGTCCAGCAGTGTGTTTCTGTGCTGTGATTTCAGTAGCTCTGTGGCTTGGCCACAAGCCTGGTGACAGGCCCAAAACCAATCGGGACAGTATAGGCAGCCTTTCAGTACATATTCATTTACCCCCATGTGAAATATGCATTATCCTCTGATGCACTGTGGGACTATGAAGAATTAGACAACAGGTAGGTGCAGTCCCTCTGACTATGTGGGAGCTGCCTCTCCTCCCAGGTCATTTCACATGCAAGTGAGTACATCCACATTTCTCAGCTCCATGCAGCATTTCCAGTTCTCTGCAGCTCTTCACATCAGTCATTTGGGACCACAGAGGAACTGCAGTGCAAGGAAGATCCAAATAGCCAGTGCCACTGCCAGGGAGTCTAGTGTAAAGAAACACATAAGTCCTTAGTTTTTTTCCTCTGTTTCCCTCCTTACATCGATGTCTAGACTTCCATTCTGTTCTGTTGCAGAATCACTACAGAGGCTGGGCAAATCAGATGCAGCCAGCTTGGTTCATGGTAGTCGTAAGTATCTGTAGATCCTGTTCCATTTGACAGAAAATGGAAGTGTTTGGATTATCAGCAATTCTCACATTTATAAAATAGGAGGAAATATTCCTTCTTAAAATGCCAGCAGAATTGTACAAGAAAACTGCTGTTATAGTATGATTATTCCTATAGACTACAGCGGTCTGTCATTAAGCCAGTTGCTTTATCCCACGTTGTCACCTGATTGACTGCACTTCTGCTTAATGAAACACAGAGCAAGGAGCTGGACATCCTCAATGGTCGTCCTATTCACACTACTTCCCACATGGTTGTTTATGCCACCCGTCTGTCCACCTCCTCCTTTTCTCAGAGCTGGGGACACTTGTTCTGCTACACCCAAAAAGAAGTAAGAAAATCAAAAAGGAAGCCATCAGAGAGTATATGCAATAATAAAGTGGATTTGAATATTATCTTGCCCTGCCTGATAGTTACAAGGAAATGGCAGCAGATCTAAATCATGATGGAGGTGGCCCTGCCAGCAAATATGATAGTCCTAGCAGGCCCCATTCAGCAGCTCTTTTGCTGTAAAAATATTATTGCATTGAAGTGAAATTCCCTGGCCTCACCCCAGTAATAACCAAGGCAGGCTATTGTCGCTCTAGAAGGAAATTTCGTTTAATGCGATGGAAGCAACCACTGCCTACTGGAGAGAAAATTCCGCAGAAATATCTCTTTGTTCTAATATTCTGGTCTCAGGCCCGGTTTCTCCCCATGCTGACAAAAAAAAAAAAAAAAAAAAAAAAAAAAAAAAAAAAAAAAAAGCTCTGCAAAGGAGACCATAGCAGCAGACAGTGGTTTGAATATATGTTGCCTTGGTCTGGCATACTGCCTATTAAAACAGCTAAACATTTTCTTACAGCCATAAGACCTTCTGGCTTTACTCTGAGTCAGACAAGTTCACCTGAAACAAAGCATGGTGTGCAAGTTAGATCTTACTCAGAGCACATTTTACTGCTAAAATCTGCTGGGCACTGTAGAAATCCTGACACTATGGCCTAACAGTGTGAGATGAATATACAGAACTAAAACATTTTGATAATTAAACTGATGAGCTGAAACCTGTACAAATCTGACAAGCAGAAAACCTAACACAACACATTCAGATATTCAAATGCATTTTACACTTCTGTACGTCAGCCCTTTGGTGGCCAATACACCAAATAGAAAACATCAATAGTTTTCAGAAACAGAACACAGACAAAATCTAGCTAGATAGCGCTAACTGCTAGACTCTTACTTCCTGGCTTGTCAGTGACAGTGTTACCTTATAAAGCAACACTGGGCAGCAATTAAAAAGGGTCGTTATTCACCACTAACTCAGCAAAGGAAAAGAAATGAATGAGCTTTCCCAGGCTGCAGTAGTTCCAGATTGCCTCTCAAAGGGTTGCATCAATTAC